TACAGACTTTCTTATCGTAGTTACGTTTTTGCATCCTGGCACTACTGGCCTCGCCAGGCACTTGCGCGCTCTAGCATGCGAACGCTGCATCCTTGGCCGCATCTCTTGGGCGTAGTCAATGTTTTGTGTTTCTTCCTCTGCAGATATAGTTGTTCCGTCGTCAAATCAGTAGGAGGGGCTACCTCCCTCCCTAACATGTGATCATGTTGGGAGTTTCTCCCGTTGATTCCTGTGGGGTACAACACGGTTTGCCGCTGTTAGATAGACTATCCGATAGACTTGAAGTCAAACTTTCCCATGATCTGAAGCCAACATGCTGTTTGCCCAGTCGGGTTCTTAAAGTTAAGGAGCCATCTTAAGGCCCCATGTCATTCCTTATTGTGATATGTCGTTCGTAAATGTAATGCCTGAACTGCCTCATAAAAGTGACAACTGCGAGCAGCTTCCTGCGTGTAACGCAATAGTTCTGCTTAGCTTTCTTCAGAACCCTTTTGGCATGAGCCACAACTTTGCTCTTGGCCATACTTAAGCTGTGATAACACTCCTCCGATTCCTGACACTCTAGCGTCAGTATCGAGAATAAATTCCAGCTCAGGGTCTGCATACGTCAAGATCGGTGCGCTGACGAGTCCTCCCCTGAGTTCCCGAAAGAACTTTTCACATTCCTCCGTCCACTTAATGGTCCTTGACTTTTCAGTTAGACGGTGCAAGGGTCTCGCAATGTTGGAAAACCCCTGGATAAATCTCCTATGGCAGGACGCCGGTCCTAAGAAACTGCGAACGTCCTTTGCCAATTCCGGTGTAGGCCAGTCCCTTACTGGCTGCACCTTGTCAGGGTCCGTTTTGACTCCAGCTGCTGAGACAATATGACCCAGGTAACGAAACCTTTGCTTAAAAAGTTTGCATTTCAGCCCTGCATCCCTTAGACTTTGAAACACCATCTTGAGGCGGCTGAGCTCCTTTAAAACGTTCCTTCCGAACACAGTGACATCGTCGAGATAGACGAGAAGAATCTCCCAGTGTAAGCCATGGAGAACACTCTCCGTGAGCCTTTTGAACGTCGATGGTGCATTTCACATGCCGAAGGGCATGACGCGACAGTTATACAGTCCACTCCTGGTAACGAAGGCAGACTTCTCCTTCGCGTCGTCACCAAGGGCCACCTGCCAGTATAACCCGAAGTAAGGTCTAGGGTTGAGAACCAGCATAATCCACCGAGAGCGTCCAGTGAGTCATTAATTCTGGGGATAGGGGATGCGTCTTTTACGGTCATGGCGTTACGTTTTCTATAATCCACGCACAGCCTCTTCGTGCCATCCTTTTTTTCTGACCAATACCACATTCGAGGCCCACGGGCTTTTGGAAGGTTCCATTTGCCCTCCCTTAACTAAGTCCAAGAACTTGCCTGTTTATTTCCTCCGCTCTGCTGCAGGGAACCTCCGTGGGCTCTCTCGTCTTGGTCTTGCGTTCCCAGTCTCTATTTTATGCTTCACTGAGTCGTTGTGTCCTATGATGTCCTTATTCCTTGAAAAGATTTCCTCGTGGTCACCCAACAGTCCTGCTATCTGTGTATGAAATTCTGGGTTAACCCCTTCGACACGCCTATCATACAGATCCCTTATGTGCTCTGGTAATTCCTGCGGTTGCTTTCCTTTCGAGCATTTCTGCTGCTCTTCGTCGCCTTCATGCACGGATGTAAGGAACCCTGCCATACTCCCTGCCTTTCCTACGCACTCCCGCCGTCCGGGATTAAAGACCCGGATTGGCAATTTCCCCTCCTCTGGTTTGACTAGTAGTCTTGCCACTACCAGTCCTCTGCTCATAAGTTCACTTTCACCTGCAGGTTCCAGTATAGTACCCCAGACTTTCTACTTCAGTTGTAACTCAGCCCAACACGAGGGCCTCGTGTCCCGGCGGTACCAAGATTGACTCTTGAACTAGCACTCTGGTTCAAAAATCCACGCACTTGATACAATCGCCATTTACGGTGAACGTCAAGTCCTTAAAATCAATCGAGTCTTCCATGGGTTGGCAATAGAAAGTCCATGCCGAGGATTCCCTCAACCTCCAGTTGCACAGATACGACGCACATTGTACTCACTGACCTTCCTACCTGCAGTTCCCATTGTTCCATATGCACCATGTATTTCTATTCCTTCGGTTACTAACTTAGGTCTTCTCTCTTGTGGAATCTTGAAGTAAATCGATGAAGACCGTAGGGTGTTTGTGGCTCCCGTGTCGACCAAAATGTTAACTTTTACTCCCCTGATCAATGCTTGAACAAACAGTCCACAGCCTTGGCTCTGTCTTAAATTGGCACTCCAAGGGTGGGCAAATCTTCCTTGAAACCCGGGGATGCTTCCTTCAGGGCTTCTCCTTCCGGTAAGTGTTTATCCTTTTCAAGGTCTATTACTGTGCCTCCCCCTTGGGAGTGGTCGTCTCCGGATTTTCTCGACCCTTTGCTTGCTCCAGCCGGATCACGGGTCCCTGAGACGGCTGATTGTCGTTTCCCGATTTCCTTGGTCTCCTGACCTGCGTCTCCTTGCATTCTCCAGCAAAGTGACCTTTCTGCCTGCATTTGTAACACACATCTTCTTCGCTCGCCTCTCTTTGCTTGAAAGGTCTCGTCATCTCCTTCCCCTTCTTGGGACTAGCTTGCTCTCCAAATCGAGCAATTATCTGCTGGATAGCTTGGCCTACAGCAGTCTGGTTTGCTAGGGCCCCCTCTGCGGAATCCGTGGTCGGCTCCTTAACCATTCTAACGTACTGGCGTGTCAGCCTCTCTCTGCTCCTCAACCTATTGATAACTCTCAGCAGTCAGAGCGGCTTGATTGAATCCTCCACGGTGCTTTGGCTTTGCCTTGAAAATTGCTTCTCTTATATCTCTGCTGGCCAATGGGTCCATTAAAAGCCCTCGTGCCAACCGATCCCTTCCTTCCTCTGAAAACTCAGGGTAGGCTAACGCAGAGAGTTCCCGTATACTCTGCCCTAGCTCCCGTAAAATATCTTTTTCTTGTTGGTGACGGTGCCGAAGATACGTCAAGTGGTATTCAGCCTGTTGGCCCGGACCAAACCTCTGGTACAATGAACAAATCAAATCCTGGAAGGAGTAGTTATTTCCTTCCGTCTGGCAGCCCAACACATTTAAGGCCGGCCCTGAAGACTTGCAGCAAGAAACACTTTTGCTTGCTCATCACTCCATCCATTGGCCACACGGTAGGCTTTGAAGTATGCCTTATAGTCTTTCCATGGCACTTTACCGTTGAATCTATCCGGACAAATGCTCAGCTTCTCCAACTTCACGTCTGGTTCGGCCACGCCTACCTTGACTGGCTCCACTGTATTTTTCTCCCCAAGGGCTGCTCCTGCATTTCCCTCGTCTTTACTGTTCCTAACTGAACATTCTCCTCTTCTTGTAGAGGTCACCACCGTATTTGCTGGCGTCGCTAGCACCGTTCCCAGCCTAGGTGTTGCCGAGAATAGCTCTAGCGTCGAAATTTCCACTGAACTAACCAGTTCACGTTGCTTTGATTCTAGCAACTCCCTTTTCATGCTTTCCAACTCGTCGTTAAGGTGCTGTTTTTCCAAGATTGCACCCTATCCATCTATAAAATGGCAGTTCCTATTCCATCCGTTCCCTAGTCATTGGTTCCATCCCTTACTTAAATGATTCTCTAATCCTAAGATCCCTGATGCACGTTTTAATCCCACTTCAGACACCATTGTGGTACCAACCGACTTTCACCAAGGTCGCCCCGGCTTCCCGACCAACCTTTTGGTAAGCCCAGGCGAGCTGCTATCCTAAACCTGGTAGACCTGGGTGGTGACTCCGTTTGGAGTGCCGTATGCCGCCAACACGTGCTGCTCAGTCTCTCTTCAGGACGGACATTTCGAATGACAGACTTCAGGGACGGACATTAAGGGCTAACTCGATCGACAGACAGACGGAGAAGTAATGGACACTGACACCTTTAATTATCGATTTCAAATATTAATCACAAGATTTTTAATTACTGATCTCTTTCTAATTGGCAAGAAAATCCTTAATCGAAAAAATAATCAAAGGGCGGCACCAGAGGGAAATACCGTAAAGCACAGCCAGAGCTCCTGGCCCAGGCCCACAGCGCAAACTACAAGAACTCCCGGGATCCCCAACTCGCACAAAGCCCAAATCCCCTCGGAGAATAACCAACAGGTCCCCAGTGCGTCCCCAGCTTCCGATCCCCTATCGTTCCTACGCAGTAAATCAGCAATTACGTCCGGTTCGTCCCCGTTCGCTCTAGACGTAGAGCAGCGATCCAGACACACGTCTTTTTTTCCACGACGCACCGCGATCATCTCCCCTCGAGCTCACACAGTCCGCCGACTGGGGCTCTGCGTAAACAACTGCTAGCGCTGCTAACTCGCTGCAAGCACGCTTATGCGATACCGATGTCAGACTTGGAGACTCGTTTATTATTATGTAAGTAATAACGACGTAAAAAGAAGTGCGGCAATGTGATTGGCTGCTACCACTTTTGGTAGTTGAGCCCATTCGCTGTGTACAAACGGTTGGCAGATTCGTCAAGTCGGGATTTCTGAACTGAACTCATAGTAGTAAGTGGACACAAGAGGGCGCGAAACGGCGCGCCGTCACGATATGTGTCCAAAGCATAAACGAAGACGGCACAGAGATCCCGACTTGAGGCAAGTCTAGCCCAAGTGGTGCGGCGCGTGTTAAAATCAATTTACGACGTTGCTGCAGGACTGTTACATTGATAAATAAGGGTTAGCTATATTATGAACAACTATTTTACCTTGTCGTATAAACCTTCACGTTAATCATGAATGATTAAATCAAGTGTTTACACTTTATAACACCTTAAGAATATACAACCTGTCTTAAATAATTTTGTTTACATGAATAAAGTGTATTGGAATAACTTTGCGAAGTGCAACCCCCCCTATTTTATGTTGACGAGTCCCTTGGATCCCGCTTGTGTACTAGTTATCTTGGGGACCGGGTATGGAGAACATGTTAGAAAAAGGGTAAAGTACATGTGTAATTTTACTGAATTTCGCTCACAAAATGATGTCTTCTGTTACCTAGTTTATTTACGGCTAGGCTCAAATTCCACCATCAGTTAAGATCCACAGCAATGGATGAACTATCGAGATAGTATAAAATGCCACTTAGATGGCAAACGAGGAGGGATAAGTCGCTGAAATGATGACGGAGTTTCCCACGCTTTGTGTGCTCCACTACGACCGGGATGGGGCGGAGGCACATCTGTCGACCACGGTGGGCTTGCGGCTGCCGAGACCGCGGAAGCCCCGTTCGCGATCTCGCACCCATCCGCGAGAGAGGGAAGGGGCTGAAGGAAGCGATCGTGAAGGGCTAGAATTTCTAGCCAGGGGTGTACAGGCGAGTGGCGATTATGGGGGGAAGACTCAAATTACAACTCCAGTGAGTATGAATGAATCAAACATGTCATATCCCTCAAAAATTTTGTTTCACCTGTACCATTTCACCATCGTTGTCAATTTGCCTTGATGGTGGTATTTCTAAATTCTAAAAACAAAATAAATTTGACACAGCTAAGCAATATGGACGCTACATTGTGTTTATTGTAATTCAGTTCGTTATTCTCTGCCTCTAGCGTATCTAGAACTATGTCGTGTATGTGGAACATTATTCTGCCTCTCTGCTCAGAGGCGGAACAATAATCCCTGTAGGCTGTAGTTCATAATGTGCATAGTGCATAAACCTTACAGTTTTGGAAGTACATGACCGAGTAGACGCCAGGTCCCAAATTTCACCACTCATTGTCAAGTCTGATTAGTTTTCACATTAAGTTGCACATTTAGGGGCTAGTGTAGTGACTATACGGTCAGCGACATTTGGGGTAGGGGTGTATTTGTTATTCCCCCCCCCCAACTAGATTGATGCCCCTCGATCTGCCTCTCTGAGCAGAGAGGCAGAACGAGAAGCCCACGGATTTAGGCATATCCCACATTTTGCTCATCAATTTTAATCTTTTTTGTTACGGAAGATGAACCTTTTTCCTTCCCCTTCTTGCTTTCTGGTATGTTTTCAACTGGTTATTTAATCACTGTAAAGACAGAAATTGTCTCTAAAACAAGCTGTCCCCCCATTTCGTAACTGCGAACCACTCACTTCTTGTAAATGCTAGATCTGCCACTATATGTAACATCCAGTCTCTTAAAAAGTGCTTTCTAGTCCCATTATTGGTCGAAATGAAGTCAGCAGGCCTGTTTGTTTCACACAGATCTGAATCGTAATCAGTGATCCCAAGGCTTCATGTGCACTATCCATGAGGCGAGTTCTGGTGTCAGTGATCCAATGACAGATCACTGATTGCGATCCGGATCTGTGTGAAACACAGGCCCAGTGTTGCATATTTTCAAGTGTGTTGGTGGATCCAATTTTGGCAGTCGCTGCAGCTTACATGGACGTGGATGATTGTGATATTTCAGATTTCAGAGCCAGTTTAAAAACTGGAAAAAAGAGTTGGAAACAAGCAAAAAATTCCACCTCATTTTACAGAGTAAGATACCATGCCAAACTTGGCGTGCTGTGAAATTTGGCATATGAGCTGGTACCAAGAGTCTGAACCCTGTCCGTGCTGTTTGATATTTACTTGAAATCTAGTACGCTCATTTATTTGTCTGCTGTGTCACTTACCAAACACATTTGGAAAAGCTTTTGTTGAGCAATGCAGCTACACAGTAAGCTGACTACATTATTTGTTGATTTTTGGGGGAACAACTTGTAACTTGAAGTTGAATTGATTCTCTCTTTAGTTTGGTTCAAGTACGGCAGTTGTTAGGGTTCTGGAAATGTGAACTTAGATGTGTTTGGGTGTGTGGAATGGTGTGATAGGCCTATGAAACTGAGTTCTTTGCATAGATTGGGTACATGTAGTTCTGTTTGAGAAAAAACTCACAATTTAGGATGTGCAAGATTGCGGTATATTTAGATATTTACAGGCACAATACTAACAAGTGTAAGTGGTACTGTTTTCTTATAAACTGCATTGCATGATCACACAGAGAAATACTGGCACATGTAGATTATTTTTTAAATACTTTTTTAAATAAAGAAACATCTACATGTAGATGATTTATATAGCACCAAATCTGTCTAATGATTCATAATGGCCTTTTAAGTTTCAGAAATTCTGTGATTGGTTGGATATCACCTTTTACATTTTCTTGACATTCTTGTACAATTTTTTCAAACAGTACCGTTACAGCTCTTCCAAAAGTTCCAGCCTTCAAGCCTCGAGGGATGACAACCTGTTATACCCTGACCGTGCCCACAGCTCCTTTGCCACCCCTGAGCTTCCCCACTGTCTCCACAGTCACCACCGCAGCCTCTCGGAGCCACCCCCACATGCCAGTGAGCGCGCCCGCACAGCACCCACCTCCTCGTTCTCCCTGCCCGTCCTACGACAAGGGGGTGCCGGAGAGACAAGCCTGACGGTGAACGCCGAGCTGCTGCAGGACCCCAAGTGGAACGAGTACCTAAATGCTTGGGTCTCAGGGGCACAGGTGGGTGTTTGGGTGATTACTAGGGAGGAGCAGGCCAGTAGTTAAACTACAAGGAGCAGAGGGGGATGTGCTCCCCAGTGGATATCTATCTTCCCCCCTCCCCCAATGCCCCGTATTAAAAACTATGAAATGTACACAGGCTGAAATATACATGTACAAACCACAGTTAATTTGCATTTCTGTGCCCCCTTGAAAAATGTGGGTGCCCCCTCGGAAATTTCACCCCACCGTACATGTACTGTAGTTATACCACTGCAGCAGGCAAAGGACAGAAGAAACGTTTTAGACTTCTGGAGCGTGTTTGTTTCGCAAAGATCTGGATCACGATCGGACACTGGTTCACTGGGGCACCAGAACCGGCTTAATGGATGGAGCAAACCTGTTTTGGGGTCACTGATCAAAATCCAGATCCGTGTGAAACAAACAGGCTCTTAGTGACAGGTCAGCTATTGTGTACATTGTGTTGGAGCTAATATGGACATACTTAAAAATGATTAGAGCAATAGTGGACCAGTCTCATTGGACTGGTACGCTTGCTGCCGTCAAGTATCTCAGAAGTTTCCCATTAACCAATACATGCCACATGCCATAGATATGCAGGGATGTCCGAAGTTGTAACATGGAAAACACCTATAAATTTCAGACCAAGAGTCACCTGAACTCTTTTCCGTGAGCCATGAATTCAAAAGCCTCCTCATTATCCCCCACCTTTATTTTTTATTTTCACAGTTGATGTGGCCCCTAAGAAAGAGATGAATTTGATTTTGACGGCTTGCTTTGTTAACTACTTCTAGTTCACCTTTCATTGTGAAATGAATTTGCATGTCCATGTAGTTGTTGAGTTTTGCTTGTGCTCTGACTTAAGTAATTTTACTCTGAGCTACTAATAAAGTGCTCAGGGGAGAAAGATAAAGATGACAGATTATAATGCATGTTGTGCCAAAGCTGGCTGAGCTATACATACCTACAGTTAACAAAGGAAATTGCACTTTACTGATAATAAAAAACACATCACCATTGAAAGGTACAAATAAAGGATGTAGTGAAATGCCTACTTCTTGCTGGCCATAACATGTGAACGCACACCCTGTAGGCATTTGCTCAGTCTGGCCGGACCTTTCCAGAAATTCAAAGGCTGCAGCATTCCCCTTTTGTGGCCCACTCCAGCTACACATGACAGTGCATGTGTACAAACCCCTGAGAATGTTTGGTTAAAGTGTTACACTGGCTAGCATCAGGGTGTTTGGACAGCTTAAGGTTAAAAAAAGCTGCTTGTGAGGGTGTGAAGTGCCACCCACACCCGGAGTGCAAATATAGTCAAATACCAGAGAGGTTTATTGACTATTATGCATGTAACTGATGTGCACATGTATGATGTAGAGGCATTGTGGCCCTAAGGATGTATACATGTACATGTACATTATAATACCTACACATACATGTACACAGCTACATGTATACTTAGCCTTGAATTTGTAGTCCAAGGGTACATGTACATATGTTTTTCTCTTAAACACACATTCCAATCAGCTGGACTTAAGTCCACAAAAAGTGCAGTGCTGTTAATGCAAGATTGAACAAGAGTTAAATAATAATCATCAAAACCACTATGTTTGTGATTTTTTTTGGAGATTTAATGAAAAGTGGTCATTTTAACATTAACAAATTCTGCCTTTTTGAAATGTTCCGGACTTGTGTGGTACTCATACACGTATGTCAACTTGCTGAAAACATTCAGGTATACATATAGGCTTCAAACTTTAAACCCTTCAATCTTGGGCTTGGATACAGAAACAGTGTTGTGTTTAAATAATACAAGGGCACTTGCATACACGAAGTCTACTCAAACTTATGAAAAATATGAAACAAAAACCCTTCTTTTGCCACGTGTTGGCCTGAAAGTTTTGAAACACTGAATTCCAGCCAGGCTGTAAAAATCCTTCATTGCACTTTTTTCTTTGCATTGCCTTCACATACATGTACTGTGTGAAGAACTTTGATGAATTAATTCAGCACCAAATATGGAAGGTTTGCAGTAACACCATGGGAGCAATCTCAGTCTTTTGATCAGTGTTGTAGAGGTCTCCTTTTTTGTGGTTTCAGTCTCGGTCTTGCCCTATCAGTGTCCCGGTCTTTGGAGGGCCGTTCTCCGTCTCAAAAGCGCCGGTCTTGGTCTCAGTCTCAGATGCAAAAGTCTTGGTCTCTATGTCCTGGTCTTGGCCTTTAAAGAGTACATGTAGGTCTCGGTCTCGGTCATCAAAGTCTTGGATGATGAACCGAGCACTCTTTATGAAATGCCAAGTTAAAACAACTGGTTCTTCTTAGAACCACACAACTAAAAAAGGGAGATTATCTTCCGTTGTGTCACAGCTCACCTGCTATACTTTGTTCATGTCCACCATGATAAACCTTCAAGACCCATGTACGTCTACATGTACGTGTAATCCAGCACAGTTTTTCATATGTGACTCAATCTACTGATAACAAAACTTTTTGCAAGTTGCCAAAGCCAATTTTGAGTTAAACCCCTTTGAAAGAATCTTTCACAGCACAATTCAATAGGAACATTCAGTTTTTCCCCCTCACATGTGTACAGGTAATATCCATTTGCACCACAATATCAAACTAGGTTATACATGTGCATCAAATCAAAGAACTCACACGTACATGTGTAGTTGCTCTGTCTAATGTGAACTAAAACTAAATAAACTTGAAACTCTTTTTATGGGATCCAGTCCCAAATCTAGTTTTTAAATTTGAATTTTGCAACAAAACTATAGCCCTTGAAATTTGACATGGTTTAGATAGAGTGATAAATTGGTAACAATCAAACCCGGACACAAATTGTCCCCCATACACACCAATATATCTTGTTAATCACACGCAAACAAATACTCTGAGTACAAAGTTTTGTCTTGATTGTTAGGCAGTTCTGTAGTCGTTGGACATTGGTTATCAGACATGCACTTGATCTCTCACCCCTAGTGTGTAACGGGTAGTGCGTGTTATGCACCCACGTGAATGTGAAGGTTCTCCTCACTTCTCTACATGTAGAAAACTGTACCAAGTGCCATTACATGTGGCCATAGCCACTTCAGTTTTTTTCCCCTCAAACAGAGCACTCTCTGAATTTTATAAATTGTCGTAAATAATTCTTTTTAGAATTAAAATCATAGGTAGAAAAAAGTACAGGTGACCTCAGGGTTGTTGCTTGAATGTGTCTTTTTTTTCTTCGGAAAAATTGGAAACCCCCCAAAAAGGAATGCCAATGTTACGGATTTCAAGTCTTAAAAGTTTGTGTTGTTTGAATCACTTTTTAATGTGACTGAACAATACTCTACTGAACAACGAACATTTGGGAACATTACACATGCACATTGTGTGCAAAACAAAACCAAATGCCCCATATTTTTCATATTAACGGACAGAATTCTTTTTTATGTTCAAAACTCTTCAGGGCTCAATATAATGAAACCAAAATCAATCTTGTGCAAATTGCATTTAACTCCTGCAGAGGTCAGGGCAGATTAAACACATCTTTTGGCTAAATTTTAATATCTTAATTTCTGCTGATTAGAAAAGAATTTCATGCTGGTAGGGATGTAAGGGTGGGAATGTTCCATTTGGGGGCTCACAACAGTGTGGTACACATACATGTACATGCATGCAGCTGTTGTATGTGATTTCAAAGTTCATATGCAGCAATTAATCATTAAGCACTTTGGAAAGCACTCTTGAGGTCCATGCACTTTGAAATACTGTGAATATTTATCATGTTTTATATGGTGACAGCCATTAGGAAAATTTCCAGACAGACAATGGACTGTCAGAATACAAAATGAAATGCAAAAGTTACTGCTAAAAAGTAAAAACTTCATAATGTAAATGACATCAACTGGCAGAGCTAGTAATGCGTATGGTTACATGTACATGTACATTGTTACTGTAGAACAGAATTTTATTACAGTTTCTGTTGTGCTGGACAGAGATTATCTCTATAGAAGTTTGGTAAGCCAGGAAAGTTAAAGAACGTGCTTAGTTACATGTATACCAAACAGGTGGCTCATAAATTGTGTACAGATGACGCCAATCCATTCCGTTCCTGATCAACAATTTATGGAGAGGTCACAGCAGGTACATGTATGCCTGATCTGAATCCTGCATCCCCAGATGGAGAGACAACTACGGTACTTGTATCGAGAAATAATGCTGGTAGCCTCTAGACCCCTATAGGCACCAGACTCGGGTTCAGAACAATAGGTATGATGTGAACAAAAGCGTTGCTCCGTGGTTGGTGTATGTTCCCGTGCATTGTGGTCATTATCTACCCTGTGAGCCCATACAAAAGTTGCTGTGGATGCACTGGGATGTAGGGATAAAGTATTTAGTGTGTTTGGCTTGTCGTGAAAGGCATATCTATGGGCCTAGTATGGATCGGTTGTGGGGGGGGTGAAGAGAATAGGAGGGCACTTTGGAAATCTGGAACATCAACAGAAGCGTGTGTTAACGTTGCTCAAGGAAATGAGCTTTGTTGAAATAAAGATAGATAAAACAAAACAACAAAATAAGCAATTGATATCTTTCAACTTCATGGTGGGAGTAAATTACCGGAACTTTGCATGCATTTTCTGTGAAATGTCGTAGCTTAATTCCAGAACATGTTTGTATACATGTACAGTACATGACCTTTTTTATGCAGATTATCATTTGATACTTTTTCTTAAGTGCATCAATCAGGCCCCAGTTGACTGTTTACTCTTTTATAAAAGGCACGTCATTTTATAATAACATACTTGCCCTGATAAACTTTTCCAAATGGTAAATTTGCTCCTATTCTAGTTAAACATTGTCAAATAAACTCTCAAATATTGAACTGGAAAAATTGTCCACCAAAATCTCACGTTTAAGTTTTTGCTGTGTCAACATGGTCAAAATCCTTGAGAAAAGTCATTCCTGATCACATCTTTGCACTTTTCATCATTTTTTATTCCCTTTGTTGAATTTTTGAAACAGCATTTTTTCAGGAAATCGTTCACAGAGGGTAAACCATGCATGTACACAATTGATAAATATTTCATTTCCCATCTGGTTTATCCAATTTCATTTCTATAGGTGGGTTCGCACGCCTTTGTGAACTTCGTCGGAGCCATGTCACTGAAAGACCGTGGGCGATACCATTATGTGGTAAGCATGAGCAGAAGGTCATTGATTGCTTTGTCTTCACTGGATCCACAGTTGTTGGAAATTAGGCTTTATTGATGAAATTCAGGACTCCCGAGGGGAAGAATATTGATTTTGTTAGAAGGAATTCTTGGAAGAATGGGAAGTGTGGCTTAAATGACATCTTGTTGCAGCATTAGTACCAATTTTTCACCAAGGAGAGAAAGACTAATGCGTGCAACAGAAATGTGATCAGATGCAGATAATGTCAACTATCTTAGAGAGGTACATGTATTTGGTCTTGCAGTTTGTCACTCGTTTTGTTCCTATTTGCTTCAAATGATATATAAATTTACCTGCATTTTCAAACCATCATCAGCAGTACAAATCGCAAGTCTTTTTTCAAGGTGTCTCCATAATTACATGTATGCCCACATGCATGATGAAGCAATACATGTACATGTAAGTAATGGAGTTGTGTGAAAGAAGCAAACATATAACAAGAAAATAAACACTGAATTCAAATGGATGAATATTTAAAAGCCTTTTTCTCGCATCCCGATATTCTCAGGGAAACTGTTTCCATGCACATGGACACAAATCTCAAAGATGCATGCAACTTTTGGCATTGAAAATCCTAGCTTTTTAAAGAACCCTTCACTCGGTATGAAAATTGAAAGGAAAGGAGATTTTTCTACTTCTTTCTACAGTCCCAGAAAATTCCTGACTTATTTTTAAGAAGCGTAGGCTTCACTCACAGCATTTTTGGTCTCTCCTCATTTCAAAAGGTCTTGCAACATAAGCAGTGGCTGCTGTGTGCTCTGAGTATAACTTTAAAAGTGGAACTGTCCTACGTGGACACAATGCACTACATGATCTTTCCTGAATTTTTTTTTTCCATTTCCAGCGACAATTTGAGGAGCTGCCAGCTCTTCCCTGTCCTCGATTCTTGGAGCACATGCACCACATTCCAGCCCCCAAAGCCATGTGGAAAGAAAAGAAGAAGGCCCTCAAGAAACCAGAGTTCTGGACGTGGAAGGGAAGGACCTCACCCAAAGTGCCAAAACCGAAACCCGTTCGGAAAAGAGGTACGTGTTGGCACCAACAAAAGTGTCTCTGTCAAATAATGGCCGTTGATTTTTCTTTGTTATTGACGTGTGATCATTTCAATGGGTAGCAAAATCTTAGTTGGTTTGTTTCAATTATTAATGTTTACAACAAGTTTTGTGGACAAAATCCGACCACAGAAAAAGTATTCTTAAGGAAATTAGTGGGTCAGTGTTGTTTCTTAATGTACATTTAGTTAATCTGTAAAAAGAAAGTTTTTTAAATGACACTGTTGGAAAAGAGGTTGACTTTTCAAGTATGAAAATAGAGCGTTTAATAGGGAAATGCAGTTTGTACAATGGAATGAAGCAGATGAATTTTTAAGGGATATACCGGTACATGTATTTCGCCCATTTGAAAGGATGTTTCACTGAGTAGCCTATTTTGATGATCCAATGCAGTTGATGTCATAACTTCAGTGAACACTTTTCCATTTTGCTGTGCTGATATTAACTTACCTTTTCATTAACTCATGTACATGTAGTTTTCTGACATTGTATGTGTACTTTGTATGTTTTGAACATGTTCATGTCTCTAAAGTTTCTCACATGAAATCTGTTTCCTGTTTCTTGTATTACTTTCTTTTCATGTTCCTCTCCTTCCCCTCTAAGTTCAAGTGTGCAATAGTCTTCAAGCGGTCCAGGTAACACCGCACTCCAGTGTCAAGGTTGTGACCGTTGACCTACCGACTTGCAGTCAGGACTCGCAGGAGAGTCTGACTTCCACTCCGACCTCTGACCTTTGCTCTCTTTCCAACCCCACCCCCTCCATGAGAGCACCTTCTCCGGTCAGATCACCAGAGGAAGGTACCGGTAACAATTTTTTGTCGCAATATTTTGGGCTTCTTCATTGGAAAGTTGGCGCAAAATAACATACTTGCTAACTGGTGCTCAGCCATTTTTTTCCAAGCCTGGTGATGGTGCCCTGCCCCCATTTTGCTCTCATTCTATTATTTTCTTTCTCTTTGTTCTCTTGTGAAGTAGATTTTCTTCAATGTTTGCACACCATTACTTTTTGCACCAAGTTGCACTTTCATGTCTTTTATTTTTTGTAGAGTTTTTGGTAGTAAAAAAACGTATTTCTAAAATCTGACAGAGAAGACAGTGCACTGGGAGGTTCAAGTAGAAAAATCTCCTGAACCGCTAGGTAAGTGAAGACCTGTGTGAGAGGAGCACGGTTTTCACACACTAAAGAAGCACCGTTTTGTGATTCTCAATTTGTATTTTGAGGGATCTCACACATTTTTGTTTTCAATTGCCGCTGTGAGGCATTTTGTTGTTTGCTCTTGTGACTTAAAATTGTCTGCTGTAATATAATTTTTTTCCCCTAGATTTCCCACGAAACTTTTGCCACCATCAAATACACTGTTCAGTTGTTACTTGCTATCTGATACACGAAATGTAACCATTTTCCTCTTTTCACTTCAGATGAGAGAAAGTAACCCTTTGTTTTAATTGGAGCTCCTGCGTATGGTTGGATAATGTGTAGTGTGTACTGCATGTAGGACTTTTATGTGGATTTTACTTTGAAAATATGTCATCAAGTTGTTCTTAGAAACCTCTTTTTTATTTAAAGCACCAGACAACAAAATGATAGTTGTCCTTTGCAAAGTTGAGGTTCTTGGAAAAAAAGGTGCAGAGTTTAAAGCTCTGATATCGACATACTGTTGTATCTAAGCATATTGTTGTTTCCTAATTCCCAGTGGATAGAAATATTCGCAGAATTACAGTGCAATGAAAACTCTTTAAACGGGGTTTGAAATTGGTTAATGTAAATATTTCAAATTGCAGACGTTGCCCTGTTGTGTTTAATAGCCCTACACTTGATGGATTGCTATGCACTGAACTAACAGCTTTGGACTGTACAGTTTCTTTTTCTGTGTCTTAATTTAATTGTTGGGTATAAGTGACAATTTTGGTGACTGTTTTGTATCGCGGTGCAGTTTTGCCAGAAATAGAGGAATACAGTGAACCCAGTGACTATGGCTCAATAAGATCGGGTAAGAACAAACAGTACATTTACATAAACAGCTCAGATTTACAGCCATGAATCGCAATGTTTCAATGCTTCTTCTGTCTGCATGGCCATGCTCGCAGTTGCATCACAGTGTGTTTCATGTTGCGATTAACCTTGTACATACTTTGTTGAAAATTACAGGAGAACCAAAGAAATCCACTTGAGAAAAATTCATTGGTTTAATCCACTGAGCATTGCTTTGTTGGCTTTAATTAGTTACAGTGTTCACATGGACGCATTTCATATCATTCCAAACATATTAATACATATGCAGCAAATGCTTCCCACAACTGATTGGCCTAGTACTTCAGTGAGCATTTTAGTTACATTTTTAGGTTAACTTTTATATTTCATTTTTGAAAATGATCAGCAGCAATGGAATGAAAGAATCCCTTGCATGTTTTCTGCTGTAAACTACATGCATACTCACAAGCAAATTATGTTCTGTGAAAACTCCTTTCCACTTTCATAGATGCGAGAAGTTACATGTACTCTTGTTTTAGGAATGCCGTTTAACTCAGACTTTGTACGTATTAAGGAATGCAGTTTCATTCTAACTTTGACTCCTCTTTGAAACTTAACGCATGCTAACTCAAGGAACGTCAAGTCCTGTGAGTGTAAGATCCCAGCACACAGCGACCAGTGGTAAGGATGAGTGGCACCCATGGGCCCATTTTGATGGATCTGCTAATGAATGCCAGTTCATGGACTTTTGTACTTGATAGTTCTGTGTTTCCAGGTTATGCACAGAAATTGAGCATATACATGTACTGCCAATACGTCTTGGCCACTGTGTGTATGCATGCACAAGGGCCTGTGTGGATGTATGCATGCACAGAACGCTTACCATTAATGCATGCACGTTACGGTTACTATTACTTTGTGAGCTAGTTGTAAGCACAGGTTCTTTTCGTGTGACAAGCAGAGGCATGAAATTGGGCCCAGTTACAAATCTGATGTGGAATATTCGTTAAGGTTGCCTCAAGTCTTCCGATTGTCTGTTTCACAAATTTTGCTCTGAGCACGGAAATTTTTTGCTGTTATCCTGCTTGTAAATTCTTGGGGTTTAGAATTTTTCAACTTGAGTCTTCTTTTCAGGTTTGTGCCTTCATCATAGAGTTTTGTTCAGGAAAATGCTTTAAACATTTGGCAGATTTTCTGGCAGCTTTCTAACTCACAGCTTTTCCTTCTAGAGCAAAAGTAGGACATCTTTCCTCAAACACTTGTGTGCTTTTGTATACTTTTGTACCAAGTTGCTTAAGGGTTTTACACTTTTCTGTCAACTTAACATTGTAGTTAAGTGAACCGGGGTTTGAAGAGAAATGTAAATATCCAAGTCAGATTTGAACCGTTTTTCCTCATCTTCCCCCCTCCCCCCGCCAACTCTTGCCTGGCCAGGCATTGAGTCCCTGGATGTGGAGCCAGCTTTTGGTAAGATGGGTTGCCGTGGTTGCCACAGTGTGGATGCATGCAGACATAATACCAAATTAGTCCTCATCTTGTCTGGTTACCAAAGGGCAAAGATACCAGTTTCTTTCTGGGCACAGCATTGTTACATTTTACTTTAAACTCTCTATTGTTATCCTTGAAGGTGCAGTTTAAGTTGAAACGCACAATGCATCTCAATAATGTCAAGCACTGATGCACTGTGAGCACATGTGACATGTCACGACAATATGAGGGTGAAGTCGCACCCGCTATTTCCTATTGTGATGGTTCAAAGTCAAAAATTGAAGGGAGGTTAATTGTTGAGTTTTGTAGTATTTGGAAGGATTAACCCTTCTACTTAATTCCTTAGTTTTTGCAGGATAAAAATATTAAAAATGTCATTTGCTTACCAATTTTGACAAAAGCATTATTCATGTCTGGCCTGAAATGTTAAAACAATGTCTGAAATACCGACCCAAAGCATCCGGAATAGTGTCACATTGTCACCTGGTTCTTTTCCCTGAGTCATTTATTATTATACCATTGGAAAGCTCTTTTTCTGTTGGATTAAAAATATCAATATTTGCATTTTCCAAAATTCCAACTTTCAGCTCATTTTCTAGTGACAGGTTCCATATTTCTAAATGGTAATTCCCATGGTCTCCCTTACCAGTTTTTGATTAAAGAACTTTACTCCTGGACATCAGTAGAGAGTTTTCTGAATATTGTTTCAAAACTGAATGTGAATGAATTTTTGCAACTGTTTCAAGGAATTCAATTTGCACAGTTTTTACTTAATCTTTCCGAAGCAAGCATCTGCCTCAAACTTTACCTTTATCTGTTATCTTATAATCATGCACTGGTGTTTGTTGTGCTTGTTTTCCACCATAGCTTCTTAATTAACATTTATCAACTTAAATCTAAATTCTACTCATTCATTATCTAATCAATTTTGCCGTTATCATGCTTCATATCGTGTCAGAAATCACCTAGGGCATGCTTCCAGCCACTAGTTAAGTATTTTAACATTTAGTCATATCTAGTGACCTTCTTTTGCCGTGATACAGCACTAGAAGTGGTTTGATGTCAGTTTCACTGATGGCTTATTTCAGTTTTAAACCTTTCTGGTTATGAGTCATTCAAAACTGTTGAAGTAATTATGGAATCAGAAAAAGTTAATATTGATGTCATTGGCGAAGGGAAGTGGAAAGATTACAGTTCAATAGATTTGTCATTTTGAAAGGTAAGTTGTCCTTTTTTTATATTCAATTTTTGTGTTCTGCTTTCAGAAAACCATGATGTGAGAACAGTCTGATCTGTTCTCACACAACAGGAGATATCCAAGATACGTGTACTGTCAACATGGGCAATAATGTCTTGTCTTTTTATTCCCCAGTCCCACTCAAACTGCACAAGTTGGAGAATCCTCCCCGACCCCCGACGACTGTCGACTGGGACAGCCACAGCTACCTAGCTGACCTTGACGACAGCGATGACAGTGACACAGAAGGAGCCAAAACTGGCCAGAACCAGGACAAAGATGATGCAGATAGCCCTCCTGAGCCTAAACGGAGGGACGTTACCACAGGGCCCTTGGAGACGAGCAAAGTGGACCAATCTAGCTATATGTACAATGATCACATGATGGTGCTGGAACCTGTAGTGTATGGTAGGTCAACAAAACAGGCTAAATAATAACAACTTCTTGTTTTAATATGGACACAAATCCTAGAAAAGATGTTCAAATGAGCTGAACTTCTAGAAGTCCATTCTCAGGAAATTACAATTATTAAAAAAGTTTAAAATAATGCACTTATTAGTCTTATTACTTTTATGGCAATATGCTCTATTAACATTGACAGTTAAGAGTGTTGCACTTAAGCATGTTAAGAGTGATTTTGTGGAAGGCCATCCGTGAGAACAAGAAAGGGTGTGTTTTTACGTCATGATGGTCTTTTAGTGGAAATTCGCCACAAACTCGTACAGTAGGTTCATACGCTTTTGGTATGGGACGCATGGAACATATGCATTATCTCTGTTTGAATTATGGTTTGACTGTATGTTCCTTGTGTGCAGCAGCCCTTTGTAAAAACTTCCAACCAGCCAGTCTCATTGCTGATGAGGGCACTCTGCAATTTAGAGGGACACATCTTCTGTATTACAGTACCTCACTGCCTGTCATTTGCCATGTCAACTATTCCTCTTCCAGAGAGTTACTTGCCATTGGATGATCCATCTGAGATGATGAGGTCAATCACAGTGCCAGGGTGCGAACAGTCGGTAGTGGACCCTTACCCACTGGAGGAGCCGTTGCGGCCAGACGTGGCTGATGTCAATCGAACAGTTGTCCACCAGTCGTCCATCTTGACCAGACCTGAATTACCAACTCCTCCACCGCCACCCTCTCCTCCCAAAGGTATGTCCATGTGAACATTTGGGAGTATCAGGATTAAAGTCATGCATATTTATTCTCTTTAGGTTTGATATTTGTACTGGCCTACAGGTCTAGAAAGCATTTCATTAGTAGTTTAGTAGTTTGTTGGAAGATTATTGTACAGACAAGTATGAAAATATATTTTTTGCCCCATAATTATTATTTTTGCTACTTACATGACCTTGGAAAAAAAAACCAATGATGCAAACAATATGAATACACATATAAATGAATCTTTACACAAAAAATAATAATAATCAAGAGATTGAGGGCAGCAGTATAAATGAAAAGTTGAAATTGGGCTTCCCTGCGAAGTATGCAATAACCAAGACACAGGAAAACACAACAAAAAATGTCCTTTCAGTGTATCCACTTATCCCTACTTGGAGAAGTCCCAAGGAAATGTTTTGGGGTCATTTTTTTCTGAAAGAATGCCAATTTTGGTCCAGTTACTTCCTTTGCTTTGAATGCCTGAATGTACTCTTTGAG